GGCGGCCAACCGCTCCGCTCCTCCCCGCCCCAGGGCCCGCCCCGCCTGCCACCGCGCTCGCTTAAAGGGATGTAGGCCAGGCTGTGCGTTTCGGGATCAAACATGCCGGGCCGTTCCCTGGACCTCACCTGCTGCCGGAGTCAATAAAACTAGGGCTCTCTTAAAAAGATTAACAAGCGAAAAGCCGGGGGTTGTGCATCCACTTGGATGACCCAGTTCTTTAGGCAGCTGGGCTGTTATCTTAAGGGGCTATGATATTTTCAGTTGCAGCGGCTTTTAGGAATGGTTTTGAAAGGGAGAGTTAAGGGTGCTTTCCTGGGTGTCTTTAGGCCGATTCAAGCTTTGCCGCCTTAAACGGCTGACTCATTCCAGAGTTAGCTTGTGTAACTATGGCAGGCTCTATGCTGAACCAAACAGAAGGTCCCTGGCCTCCCGGAGTCTACAGCGAACTAGAGAGAGAGAGAGTAAACAGAAAAACAGATAACTAGGTACATTTGTCAAAAGTTCATCAATGAGAGTATATTCTTGGGGAAGTTACTTTTCTTTGGGCTGCAGTGTCGCCTGTAAGATGGGCTAAGATTTGTCACAAGGTTATGGTGGGGGATACATGAGCTCAGGAATATAAAGTGCTCGGTGCCCAGCCACTGATCCAGAGCTGGTCCTCTGTAAAGTGTGATGCTATTCCTCGCTAAAATCCAACTCTAGACACAAGTCTTGAGTTAGAAGTATTCACCTGCATTACTTCTGGTCTCCATAACCATATGTTCCTTGTGGCTTTCCTCAAAATAGAGAGATAGCTCACCTATGCTTATGTTTTGGAGAACCCCACCATCACTTAGGAGGGCTGAGGCCAGGTGTTGTAGCCTAGGAAATACAGGAAACAGCTACAGAAGGAAACACAGGTGCTCCTGGAGTACAGAGCTATGATAGTAGAGTGGGAAGCAGAAAGACACACTTGGGTTCAAATCCAGGCTCCAGCATTAACCATCTAACCCTGACATTTGGCAAGTTTATCTCCGAGCCCTATTTTCCTCATCTCTAGGATGGGAATAGTGATACCTACTCCTTGGAGTAGTTGAAAGGGCTGGATAGTACAGGTGAAAGGCCAACTTGGTAAATCTTTTAGCTACTTGAAACCATAATGAAAATTTATTAACAAGATGGAATTTGAGGTCTGCAGCTTTCCTCACTGCTCAAACATCCTATTTCAAACACCTGGGGTTTGTGTGAGTTCCCATATTAATGAGAAACTCTCCACTGACTGCCAAAGAGGAGAGTGTAGGAGTCAGTCATTCTGCTTTCCTTCTGGAGAGAAAACAAAGACCAGGTTGGCTCTGCCATATGTCCATGTGCATCTAGATTCCTGTTTGGAGCTGCAGAATGCTCTGATGTCCCGTGTCTTTTGGCTAGATCCATTTCAAGGTGCCATGCAAGAGTTGTGCATATACAGAAAAAACTGGAAGAGGTTCATGAGCAACATAGCAACCGGTTTTCACTGTGAGACCTATGCTTTTAGATAGAAATCACATTTCAGAAAGTGCTAGAAGGAACTTTTGAGATCTATTTTTAAAATGGAAGTCAAGGCCCAGAGAAGTTAAAATGACTAACTCACATAAATGGCAGGACCAGGAGCCTAGATTTTCTGCTTTGTGCAAGAAAGACTGATATATTCCAGTCGGCAAGCTCTGCACACTGTCTCTGTAACGAACCACCAAACGTGTCCATCATCTCTTCTAAGAACTCGCTGAACACTCTGGGATGCTTCCCTCCTTTCCTTCTGCTCTGGATATCAACAGTGAGGTTCACCCAATGAGGCGCGTCTGCAGGATGGAGCTTCTTACTGCCAAACAGTTTGGTAATATGAGGCCTGCCACCTATTTTCATTGGAAGAGGATACCATCTGCTGTCATTACGTACCTGTTCACTGACTTATCAGCAAAGATAAGTGACACCTTCCTTTTAAGAGCTTTATTTGTCCTCCTTCCCAATTCTGAAATGGTATCTTCAGTAGGATTCATTCCCAGTTACTGAGGTTCAGAGATAAAAGGTGAATTGCCAGATTTCCAAAAAGGACTATAATTAAAAAAAAAAGAAAAAGAAAAGAAAAAAAAGTTAAACAACAGTAGCATTTTTTTCCTTGGAATTTTTTCTCCAAGAAATTCTGGGCATATTCTCCCTATACTTTCCCCACAAAAATCTTAAATGTTACCTCTTCAGAAAGGTCTTTCACGCCCACTCAATAGTCAGAGCTAACATTCACATTGCGCTCATTCTATAAATGACATTATTTTAAGCCCTTTCCATATATTAAGTCTATTAAACTTTAGTACAAGACTGTAAGGTAAGCATTATTATCATCTCCATATGAAGTAGGCATTTTTATTACTATCTCCATATTGTAGCTGAGAAAACTGGAGCACAGAAAGGATAAATAACTTCGCCAAAGTCATGTGGTTAGTAATATACTTGAACTCTGGCTACCTGGTGCTGGAATCTGCACACTTACTTCCACTATATTGCCTACCTAAATTAGTCTTCTTCTACTCTGTTTTTAACTCCCAGTACCCCTTCTCTCCTTTTTTAGCACTAATTATACTTTGCATTTAATTAATTGCTCATTTAATATAACTTGTTGAATAAATGAAGAAATGTATGTTTGTGGGCATCATTCATTCTGCAACAAAATTAAAAGTTAATTTTACTTTAAAACAATATTAGACTTACAGAATAGTTACAAGAATAATACAAAGCATTTTACCCAGAGACTTCATTAAATTTTAGCCAAATGTCCTCAAAATACCTTTTAGAGCAAGAGGATCCAGTCCAATATCAATAGATATTTATTGAGAACCTGCTACTATTGTATTTCATAACAGTCTCCTAACTTATCTTTCAGCTGCAAGCATTGCCTCCTAGTCTCATACAGCACCAGATATGAATTAGATCATGTTACTCTTCTGCACAAAACTCCGCAATAACTCCCTATTACATTAAAAGTAAAAATTAGTAAAAAAAGAAAATCTTTTTTCTCATCTCCTCTCCTACTCCTCTCATCTTACTCAAACTACACTAACTTTGCCATTTCCAAGATTCTAGAAATGCTTCCATCATAGGGCCTCTGATCAGCTCTTTAACTCCCCTCTAGTTATCTGCATGGCTAACTCCCTCAGTCTTTGTTGGTTCTTAAAAATGCATCACCCCATCTCCCTTATTCTGCTGGAGTTCCCCCCTCCCAGCACTTATCTCTTTCCAATATGCTATAGTTATTTATTATATTTATTTGTTATGTTCTTGTCTCCTCTACTAGCATGTAGCTATGTGTTGAGGATGGGGATCTTTATCTATTTTGTTTGCTGAATATCTCAAGTGCCTACAACTGTACCTGGCCCATAGTTGATGTTCAAAAAAGCTGTTGAATGAATGAATGAATGTTGAAGGCATACTACATGCCAGGTCCCGTTCTTGGCTCTGAGTGTACGACAAAAACTCCCTGCTTTCGTGGGACTCCCACTGAAGCATACTTAAACCAATCTCTTTGAGATTTGGGGAAAGTTATTTAACCTCTCCGAGCCTTGCTTTCCTATCAATCGTTATGAGGATTAAACAGAAAAACAGCATTTATATAGCATTTAGCATAAGAAAAGCCTTAAAATTTGTTTCTCTTCCTTTCAGGCTGAAAGATGGGTAGCCTGACATCTCTGCCACAGATTTAGGCAAGGTTTTCACAAGGCTTTGGAAGGGTGCCAACAGGTTACCACGTCCAGGCTTACCTAATTTTTCACTGAAGATGTTCTCGTGAGAGAATGCTTACATGGGTCGCAGTGAGAAACCAGGGAATGACTAGGGTCACCTACTTCGCCATTTTGCATCAGAAAAGCCTCGCTGGGCGCCCAGAGTTGAAAGTCTTGGGAAAGAAAAGGAGAGAGAAATTTTAAAAAAAAAAAAACGGGGAGAGAGAATCTGGTTACTACTGAAAACTACAAATCCCAGCCCCACCGCGGCACACAACTACGGGTCCCAGCAGGTTTCACTGCGGGACCAAGGGGGGGTCTGAGTTCGGCGGGAGAAGGCGTGGGGTGTGCGGAGACAGCGGGGAGAATCGGGTCAAGCTTTACGCCGCTGCGCAGACGCCTCTCACGGGCCGGACGTGACGTAGGAAGAGTTCCGGCTTCGGCCTCTGCCGCTGCCGCCGCTACTCCAGCTGCCGCCGCCGCCGCCGCCGCCGCCGCCGCTGCTGCCGCCGCCGCCGTCGGGGCTTCTTATTTCTAAAATGGCGCCCCTAGACTTGGACAAGTATGTGGAGATAGCGCGGCTGTGCAAATACCTACCGGAGAACGACCTGAAGGTGAGCCGGGCCGGGGCGGGAGCGCTGCTGGCGAGGCTCGCCCCTTCCGTCAGTGGGTTGCCCGCCGGCCCGCCCTTCTCTCCGCGGGACCCCCGCCAGCATCCCGTCCTGTCACAGTGGAGGGCCTGGCGCGGTGCCAAGCGACCCAGTCCGACTTGGCGTCTCGCGGAGTGCGGGAAGGGGGAGCTGGAGTCCCCAGAATGCTGTCCCAGTTCCGTAGCCGGCATCCCGGGGGATGTCGCGGCCTCTGCTCCAGGGTTGCCCCTCTGGGCTTTCGGGTGCCCCGGGACTCCGACCCCTAACACCTGTGCTTAGAAGACTCCCCTCCCCGGATCCGAGCTCCGGTCTGCTGGAGTCCGAACCGAGCCCCAGCGTGCAGCGCCCTCGAGATCGGTGTTCCCCCCCGAGGCGGTGACAGGAGCGCGGGGTGGACAGCGTCTGACAGGAGATGCCGCCGGTCCCCGGAACAGCGCGGCCCCAGCGTGTTTAGGTTCTTGAGGACTGGGGACACGGTGGGCCAGAGCGGTTTGGACGGGATGTGAGAGAACGTCAAGTCGTCCCTCTTTGCCTACCGCTCCTCCGGGTTGCTTTTCGGGAGTGTTGGTTTTTCTTCTGCTAATTCGGATGTGAATCCGGTTTTCCAGTATGTTGTTGAGCTAATTTAAGTGGAGGAACCTAATTTAAGTGGATAATTTAGTAGGCCCTCAATAAATACGAAAACCTTTCTGTCCTTTTAAGTTGTTTCCCCATAATCCCTTCTTAACTCAAGGTTTTATTTTCTTGATTTACTAAAAGAGGTTTGTTTGTTTGTTTGTTTGTTTTTCGTTACTGCCGAGTCCAAGTAACAGTAAATGTACGCGCGGGTAAAGGAATGAATGTAAGTCTTTGACAAGTCTTTCCATTCCCGTGCGTTTAAAACCAGTGCTCAGGTGTCTAGCAGGGTCTAGCGGTTAGTGCTACCGTCTGTTTTATTTGTTCAGTTAGCTTTGATTCGCTGTGTGGTAAGTGGGTAAACTGTCGATAGTTTTGAGTCCTTTTCATTCTTTAAGTTGTGGATTTAAAGCAGTTTATCTTTGTTCGTGAAATTTTTTTCTCTTAAGGAAGATGTTACTGGTTTTTTCTTTTGCTGTCTCTTTTGGTGCAGGAAGTTGATATTTAACGTCAGTCAACAAGTATGCAAAATGTGGGAGGCCAAAGGAGCTGTTGTGATTGTAACTTATTTGCACTTATAGGTAAATTTTATGTGCTGTGTGATAGGGGAGTCATTCTTGTGCATTTCTCACTTAATAGGATTAATTTAATTAAAATGAGGGCAAGGCCAATGTTAGTAAAAATGCAGCTTTCGTGCTCATCCGAGTTCTTCATGGTTTCTTTCTGCTCTATGCTTTTTTAGAAAACAAGGATACAACCAACAGTGGTGTCCAGTTCATGAAAATCTAACCAGACGTCTTTTGGTAGTGTTATTCATCCCATGGATGAAGCAGTTTTTTGCATGTCAGCGAACTGATGTGAAATTTTCTATTCTTTAACATATGTAAAGCTGTTTAAGGCTTTGTATTTATAATTAATAAAGTTGCTTATTATAAAAAATATCTTGATATTAACTTGAAATTGATACTGAAATTATTTGGATGATAATCAGTTGGATTTTCTTTAGACCTCTTAGTTTGAAAAACATTAGATTTCCTCCCTACCATAAGGAAATATAATTATTAAACCATTTGATTTCCCCCTTGCAACACGACTGGATGGTACTTAGAATGCACCTATTATTAATATATTTTAAAAACAAATCTAGGCAACTCCTGGAGAAAATTTTTATTTATAGGTAGAGGCTTTTTTCTTTGTTTTGGAAATGTTTTTATCAGATTAATTTGCTTGTGATGCATGCTCATCTCTGGTGCACTTAAAGAAATTTAATTTTGTTTCACTTTTTGACATGAAGTGCAAACTAAAATTAAGCAGTCCAAGAAAATATTCTGGGAGCACCTTTGCTGAGGCTTTAAAGCTAAAATAAAAGATTCTTTATCAGAGGAAGAAAAGAAATCATTGAGGCCACTGAGTAATTATGGAAAAGATTAGTTCTGGTAGAAAAGACAGAAATTCATGGTGTTTAAAGTTGACTAGAAGTTGGAGGTACTAAATAAAATAATAAATGTAAAAGATGTTCTAGATCTAATCATGATTTCTCTATACCTAAATTAGAAATGGTCAAATCACTAGTACTGGATGGAATCTAACTGTTTTGAAGGAATAAGGATGAAATATAAAAGTGAATGGACCAACGCATAACCTTGGTTTAAAAAGAGCTCATGTGATTCTCATCAACGATAAAGCTTTCGGAGCTGATCATAGAAGTTACATATTCCATATCTGGCCAAGTGGAAGAATGAATGTTAAAAGTCAGGTTTACTGAATACTTAAGTACTTTGGCAGGGAGATGGTTTCTATACCTTGGAGATTGTCTGATCTCTTAGTCTTTAAAGGTGACATGTGAGCAAAAAAATTGCATATGGAGTCGGTGTTCATTTTTTTTTTTTTTTTTACTGAGGAATCAAAGATAGTTACTGTGATAATGATAGGGAGAATACTAATGTCTGTCTCAGAGGTACAACACAAGGAATTGTGTAATTCCACTTTTATGGATTAATGGTTAATGTAATCTTTTTGGAACTCACCTTCATGTTTAGTCTAGACATCCCTGAGTTTTTCGTATAAGGCTACCTGCTCTGCAAAGTCATACGTCTGTCTGAAATGCCTCCATAAAGTTTCAAAGAATTCTCCCTTCCTTTATTCTGACATTTGTTAAACAGCCTTTTATTCTTTCTCATTCAGCCTCTATCTGATTTTATAGATTCTTATCATATCTTGTAGTCTTTAACCTTCCATATTGTATCTTTCCGTATATCCCTATTAGTCTTGTTGCTCACCTATTGCCTGTCTTATTGATCATCATAGTGTTTACTTGAGTTGTTTGGTTTTGCATTGTATCTTTCTTCAGGTACTACAAGGAAAATTGAACACAGTTCAGAACTTAGGGATCCATCAGGGCTTTGTATAGGGCCCTAAGAGTGTTTTTGCGTTTTTGCAAGTCTTTCTGATAACGCCTTGTATTTGTTTGCCTCTTTGGCCACAGAATCACATTCTCCTGTGTCTTCTGAAACTAGTCTTTAATAGTGCTGCCCAGTAGGAATAAAATACTCAGAAATGTGAGCCTCAAATTGTCACATTTTAAAAAAGTAAAAAGAAACAGGAAAATAATTTTAGTAATATTTTATTTAACCTAATTTTAACATGTAATCAATATAAAATTACTAGTGTAATATTTGCCCTTTTTTGTACTAAGTCTATGAAACATAGTGTATATTTTATATTTATGACACATCCCAATTCGGGCCAGTCACATTTTAGGTGCTCAGTAGCTACATGTGGCTGTAGGTATCAGATGGGACAGTGCATACCTCTAATGACTCCCTAGCCCATTTCCTAGAATTTCAGATCTGAGAGAGAGTCAGGGTTCACCTATTTCTGCACCCTTCTTTCTTTACTGAGAGAGAAACTGAGCCTTGTAGAGTTTATGATCTGCCTGAGGATGTCCAGCTAATCCATGAATTAGGTTGGAAAACCTTGGGCAGAGCTCTCTTGGATACAATTAATAGCCTTTACAGGATAGCAAATAGCATGCATTTTTATTTTTATTTATTTATCTATTTTTACCATCGAAATTCATTGATTTATTATTTTTGAGTACACAGGCCAATTTGCATTTGAGTAGCATGCATTTTTAGATATGTCTCACCTTTCTTTATACCTTCCATTCTAAGCACATCGGACTGCAGTCTTCTGATAACATGCCCTGTACTTCCCTGCTTCTTTGCTTCTGGCCAGTCCTTTTCTTCACCTATTTATTTAATATGTACATAGCACAGATATTAAATTATTTAATACTCTGTGAGTTGGGTACTAATATTTGCCTCATTTTACAGACAGGTAACTGAAGAACAGACAGATTAAGTAACTTTCCAAAGTTATATAGCTGGTAAATTGGTGGAGGAGCTGAGATTCAAATATAGGCAGTCTGGCTCCAGGATTCACATCCTTAACTACCACTTATGCTTCCTATATACAATACTCTCCAAGCCCCTTTTGAACTCTATCTAGTTCAGATGCCACTTTCTCTATGGATTCCATAGTCAGGATTACTAGCAATGGCTAGAATTTACATAGCTCCTTATGGTTTTCAGAGCACCTTCATGTCTATTCTATAATTTACACAGTCCTTGTGACAGGCAGAATATATATCAAAGCCAGGACTTGATGAAGTTTAAATGATTTTTTGCCATAGTGACTCAACAGAGTACATGCCTAAATTTATTTGCTATTGAAATTTCCCATTCTTCGCAGACAAGAAAAAGCTAAGGGAGTTCATCATCACCAAACCAGTACTACAAAAAATGTTAAAGGGAATTCTTTAAGAAGAAGGAAAAAAAAAGATAAAAAGTATAAATAATAAAATGACAATAACTACATACCTATAATAATTACTTTAAATGTAAATGGATTAACTGCTCCAATCAAAAGACATAAGGTAGCTGAAAGGAGAAGAAAACAAGAC